GAATGAGGCTTTTAACACTCTTGGCTATGAATGAAAAGTTTCTGTATCATGAATGTTTAGTAATTGTTTAAAATTTTCTGTTAATTGTTTTCTCCAGTAAATTGCTTTCTTAGAATATTTGTATACAAAACAGCAGAGACAATTACAGTAAGTCAATAGTGATATGAACAAACATTTCATGAAGTTGATGCAAGGTATTCACCTGCCTCTAGTGCAGAAGGGAGACAACAGCTACAGGCATTGAAATTCATCTCTGAAGCTGTCAACAAATTGCAAACAGGTAGACACGTCTGTTTAGGGTTGGTTTTGGCTTATCCAGCTCGTAGATTCTCTACGGGGACTGACTGACCTGCTCTGAGATGAGTGCTGTTAGTTTTGAGTGGCTCAGCCTTGCAGTTGCTTCCTTATGTTGTTGGTGATAGAGGGTGGAAGCAATGTTTCAGTTTTAGCTGTTAAAATCTGATTTTTCGTTATATATGTACAAACATTCATCCAGATCCATGAATTTTCACATGTTTCTGTTGTAACCAAACCCATGCACTTTCTCTGTTTTGAAAATATGAAGAAAAAATTTTCTAATGCAAAATATATTAGAAAAAAATCTGTTAAAAAGCAAATTATATTGTTTTCACACAAGCAGATGCTAAAATTTTTCTAAAAGTTAAACTAGATATTTTCACGCACAAAATGTTGATTTTCCTTATGGTGATACATAAACTCTAGCCTAATATCGGTCTGGATTCAAACTGGGTCTTTAACACTTTTACACCCATTTTTCAGTAGTTAAAGTTGCTGGTGCCTCAGCTATCAACAAAAAACTGTGGTGCCATGATATTCAGGATACTAAATGGATTTGGAATTGGCAAACATCCATCCATCTATTACATTCTCACAGCTTTACCTTTGCACCATATCTTGAATAGGATATAAGAGCAACAATAAATTTTAACTATTTGTTAAAAAGATTTTATTCCAGAAAATGAGCTAAAACTGAAAACATTACCTCTGAAAATAAAAACCAGCCTTACAGTCTTCAGACAGAGCTCTCCAAGGGTATTCTTTTTTCCCTCTGCCTGTAAAATGCACCATATTCTGTTGTCTCCTAGTTTTATTTCCATACATACATATATATATTATAGTACTTCCTTTGTTGCAAAGAGAGTTATATATAACATCTAAGGATTAAAAAAAGAAGAACACCACCAGCTTTAAAAAGCTGATTTACAGATACAAAGTACACCTAGGTGTGATTCAGGAAACAAGAGGACTGTTCTCATTTCTTTTCCATTGTGCTCAGAAGAATTCCACTCAGTTTATAGCCCTTATCTCTTAGTATGATAGTCCCTTCACAGGTAGTCAACAAATACCCACTTTGCAAATAAAATTCCCACAGGATTATAGTTCTTGTAGAACTGTAGGATTACCAAGCCCACCCGAGCTCCAGATGCAGAGCCCAGCAGTCCACCTACCCTGAATTTCACTGATACATAGTTTGGAGATAAAATATATGTGATGTCTCCCTCTAAGTGTGGCCCAAGTCCAGAAAAGTGTCTGACTTCGGTTACTGGTTACTCTGTTGGCTCAAATGAAAGTAACCTGTGCTGCAGCTTTGAAAATCCTACCATCAAGCTCTGCTGGTTGAATAAGTGAGAAAAACAGTATGTGGCAGTATCAGAATGGCTTCAAAGCAAGCTTTAATTCTTGCACTGCAAAACTTTTCAGAGCTCGACTGTACAATTTTCTTTTAGTAGAACTTTTAGACAGAATTCCCAAACTGATAACTTTACAAGGTATTCATGCAAGGAGAAGGACTTGTCTTTTTATCTTTGCCAAATAAACTCCAGTGCATGACACTATTTTTCTGTAAAATGATGACAAAAGGAGCACCTGTTCAAGTAACGTGTAGACCTTGGAAGAACAGCAACACCATTTATCACTTCTTGTACTGATCAGTTATTTAAAACTGAACAACATTTATGATATGAAACAAGAGGTAAAGAGGTGTTTGTGTTTGCTGCTGATATGTATTTTACCATTAGCTTTCATCCTGGTTATTAAAGCCTGGCCTTTTCAGGATAGGAGAGCCCATTTCAAGACATTGTTTCGTAAAAACAAAGAAACAAACAAGGAGAGTGTTGACAGTACTTGACTCAGGACCCTTACTTTTCAAATCAAAAAAAACATAGCCTTGTTTGGGACATGTTCAGCTTTCCATACATATGTCTATCATAGATTCACCACCAGACTGTGACCTATTTGTTAGAGCTGGAGATGTCAGAATGGAGGAGTTACTTAGATTAAACTGGCTTGGATTCAGCCAGACTAAATTCCAAATCCTTCTGCCTGTCCTTATTATTGGCTGCCTCTAGGTCTTATCTCTGAAGAGAAAGTCAGAACTATCACGCACCATCAGGAATGGGTAGTTCCTAAGTGAGGGCACTCACTCCTCCCTCCTGCTCAACTTGCGAAGAAATGCTCAAGATTCCTTAGGCCAGAGATGGAGCTGCTGATGCTGCTCCTATACATGTTTTAAGTAATTTATAAAAAGTAAAAAAAATACCCGCTGGTATTATATCCAAAAGTTTCTATTCTTCAGAATATAGACATCACAAAAACTATAGCCACCTTACTGATCCAAGTCAGCACAACTGAACACAAAATTTGTCCTACCTAAATGCTTTGGCAGGGGTGGGGCAGCCTTGAGGCTGTTGGCTAGCTTAGTTAGCTTCACTCTGTCTTCACAGTCAAGATGAAACCACATCGAAACTTTGCTAATGAGCAGCTGTGTAGCACTGCAAGGTAATTTGCATTCGTGAGTTCGCATAAAAACAAATTCTTAAATTAAGCTACTCCTCGATTAACAATACCTTAAAATAAGGTATTTGCTGCTTTTCAAAAAGCTTAATTTTTATGCAGTACTCTTTTTTCCCATGTTCTAGATATGCTACCTTTTCTATTGTCTTTAGCTTGTACCAGGAAAGACCAGCACCTGAGTTACATATATCTAAGAAAAGACCAAGGTGAGCAACATTAAAGTCAGTCTAAGATCTTATTAATAGTTTCACAGAGTGGAGATACAATTTAAAACTGTGGAGAGATTAAGTGTTTTGTTGCACTTCAAGTTAATAAAATATTTCTTAATAAATTAAGAAATTGGCACGTGTTACAGAATAATGGGCATTTTAAGAATGCCCCTCAACAGCATAAACATTTCACTTACTTCTGGAACTCATGGCTAGGCTTCGCGAATGAAGATTTGAGAAGGGCTCAAAAGGGCTAAAGGGCTAAAGGGCTAAAAAGGCCAATGCAAGATAGACAAGTCCGGTTGCATCTGGAAGTAGAGGCCACTAGAAATTAGAGAAGGATGTGCATATATATATATACGTATTTAAATACATACATAAGTATATGCATATTTCCTCTTAATGAGAACTGTATACATATATATTTATATGTATTGTGACACCCTTTGAGAGGAGTTATGCAATTGAGGCAGTTATTAAGAAATTGAGCAACTTTAAGAGAGTCTTCAAGAGATGTTTAGATACCTATAAAACTTACAAGTGTGTCCTAGTAGATAAGGTATTTATTAACTTGTGTAAACATGAGTTTTGCTAACTGAAATAACTGACAAATGTGTGAAAAATGCTTTTATTCAAACTTTTCCTTAAAATGTGCTTGTTTCTTGTCCTCTCTATTTTTGGAGTGAGGATTTTTTTTATTAAGAGCCTAGATTTGCAACCCCCTGTTTATAGAGCTCCCACTTAAATTAGGTCACCCATTTGAAATAAATGGGATTTCTAACATGAAGGATATTGTTTGCAATATGTTTCATGATATTTTAATTTGCTATCTGATAGTAATTTAAACGTCTTGATGCAGGTTTTTCAGGTTGCATAAACAACAGGAATGTTGGCAATTTATTTCACCTCCCAAAAAAAGGTGGCAGAAGAACAATGTACCTATAAAATTATTAAAATCATACTGACTTATCTTGTTAAAATTATTAGCAGAAGCAATATTTTATTTTATACTACAGATATCTTATCACTCTTTATCCTTTTACTGTCGTCAACACAATCCAATTTTTAAATACTCTAAAGGGAGAAACAATTAGAGAAAGATATTACATAATAATTCAATCTTTCCAAGGGCAGACTACTATCTAAAATGAAGAGGGCAGACACAGTTTATGTAACCTCAATAACGCAGAATGAGACAGGTATATCTCAGACCTGGACATATTTTCTGCTGCTTTTTAGCTATCACCATTTAAAAACCAACCAACTAAACAAACAGAAACAAAAGAACAAAAAAAAACAAACCCCAAACAAAAACATTTCAAAAGTTCATTCCGTAGCAAGGAAATTAGTTTCCATGCATATCACCTGGCAAATGGTATTTTTCTTACTTATGTGTGTAGATCCTAGTGGGGCTGATTCTGCCCTCATATTATGTCAGGCTCACCCTGATAGAAAATAATTGCAACCAAAACCTCTTCTGGTGAACACTAGATAACAGAAAACCAGAATTTGAGTGGTTTTTTTCTAGCAGAAGGTTTAGGCCTGAGCACTAATATACCACTAATTATATATATTAACTAACTGTCCACATTCTCATATTAAGTTGTCTGATTTTCTTCTAGTGGAGTCTCTGAGGTTATAAAGGCTCTACAAACTAACCAAAAATAACAACACTCATGTATTTTCCATTATGCTGCGTATTATTAGGTAAATAAATAGTTAACCTTCAATAATGTACTTCATTGTGGCAGAAGTCTGGGCTATCAATGTTAATAAAACCTGCCCATTACCTAGAGAAGCTTTTGTCTCCACCAACTCAATATGCCTCAGAAGAGACTGATGTTACCAGGTTTACCCATTCTTCTGAATCTTTTCTTTGCAACCAAGCAGATAAAACTTTTTCCAGGGTTGATATTGTCAATGTACAGACAATTGGACATATATCACTTCAGATTTCTTGCCTTTTAGCAGTATTACCTCTGATTGGTAGAGGAGACCTCATGCTGGTCTAATTCCAGGAATAACTCCAAACAGACATCTCAGCCATTCTCCTCGGGAAGAAAAGTCACTAGCCATACACTACTCTGAAACATAGAATTATTAAGTGTATTAGAAAAATGTTTGCTATGAAGCTTACTAATTTTTTTTTTTTTTTACTTTAAATCAAACTCTAAATAACAAAGCCTCCTTTCTTTGTTTCTATGTGGAATACACTGATGTAGATGTGTGCTCCTCCATCAGGATGAATCATTAATTTTACAGGTAACCTGACACAGAAATAAGCACACAATAATGTTTAAGATACTTTGCTTTTGAACATTCTTGTTGTAATTAATTCATTTTGTATTAAAGGACAAATGAAATAGAAATAGCAAGTGCTCTAAGTAAATGAACAGCATTGTAAAATCCCTAGTTTTAACCCTAGTTCTGATAATATCTTGTACTTGACCTCTAAACAAACTCTACCTCTGTGTATACCTCTATGACTGTGAAAAGGGAATAAAAACATAACTTAATCTTTACCACAGTGACTGATTGTGAGGCCTTTTACCTCAAAGCAGATGTACTGTTTTAAAGCACTATATAATAGTGGACATTCATGCAAGAAACCTCTTCTAGAAAAATATTTACTGAAGAAGAAACAGCTTAGAGTGTGAGAAATTTGTAAGATAATTTTGCAGAACTTAGCAGCACCTGTTTAGTTCAGCTTGCTACCATTTTATTAGCTGAAGTTCCAAACTATCTTTGGTATCTAACCAGAAAGACCAGAATAAACTCTTTTTCAAGTGCACAAATACAAGCAATCTGGACTACTCTGAAACTGTCCCATTAATCTTGGCTCTGTATTTGAGCTTGGGTTTCTTTGATCATTTCTTTAGCCCAGGTAACAGGTTACAGGGAGGTTTTTGTCTGAAATAGTCTCATTGTTTCTTCTGCAGAAAGCATCACACACAGGGTGATGGCTGACCTTTGGGCAGCCAAGACTGGGCAGATCAAGCCATTGGTACAATATTTAGATAGTTATCCTAGTGAGAGTGGAGCTAAAGATGCACACAAGGCTTATCTGTCTTTATCACTAGGCCAAATACATCAGTAGGCAGTCCCTGCAGAACTGGATAAAAGGGATGGAGACTTTGATTCAGGAATGTAGGAACCCAGCTCCCAGTCATACATCCATCTGATGGCACCGAATCTCGTTTCCAAATTTGACTGTGTCCATCCCAGACATATAAAGCAGAAATTGCATCAAGACGCACTCCAAAATACATCAGGTAACTAAAAAAGGAAGCAGGCTACTGGAATGTAGCTGCACGCGGTGTCCCAGTGTAGAGTGTTAGAAAGACCTACTACAGAGACGTAAATGGGCAAGGAAATTTAGGGTTGAGAAAAATTATTTTTAGAGTGTGCCTTAATGTAAGTGATGTGGAAGAGTACATATTTCCAACATTCAATAGGCAAAATTCTCAGGATAGTAACTGTAATATTACATGAGAATATTCCCCTAGCATAATGATTGTATGTTTTACATCTGGGTAAAAAAATACATTTCTGATATTACATACAATACAATTGTATTGATACAATTCTGATACTGATACAATTCTGAATTACTTAATGACTATGCTTAGCACAAGCTGCCATTCTGAAGTTGTAACAAAGTTCAGACTGTCTAAAGAGAAGAGAGATGGAAAGACATTTATCATTTACAACTTCAAGTCAGTGCTATTCATAACCTCAAGACATTCAATGAAGCTATGTAAAATACCTTTTTTCAAATTTCAAATATACGTAAATGTAGTATAGGTGAGGTCATTCACTACCTATATTCTCCAGACATTGTCATTCTCTGAAGTGAATTCAGTTAGCATTTTACAAGTATGTAATGACATAAAATACAACATTTTTTGTAGAAAATATTTCTCAGAAATACTTTTCTAATCACATTAAAAACATACTAGTTATTGGTTTGTTTTCTTTTTTTACCTTCAAAAATGAATCATATCAAAGCTGCGTTACACATTCAGGAGCTGCTTATCCTTCACCTTATAAATTTACCTTCATATTAGATTAAAGTTTCTTACCCATTTGCTTTGTCTTTCTGGTTTTGTGAGGCTGCAGTGCAAGACAGGTTTGTTGCCCGTGTTTGCAGAACTGCCATAAGAACAATGCCTTGTGCATCCCTGATGTAAGCTGCCTCCTAAGGTCACCTCCCCGCTTTGAGTTCAATGGCATGACTAATGCACGTGAAGTTAAGCATGAGCATTCGGCCCTGAGCCAGTAAACATTAGCACGGGGGCAGGGAAGTGAATCCATGCAGAACCCCCCCTGATTCAGTATGGGAGCACAGAAACCTGCCACTATTGGAGCCAAAGTGTTTACAGGACCGGGACCTTCAAAAGCAATTAAGACACAAAGCATTTCAACTCTGCTTCTGTAGCAATTCATTAAACAAACAAACAAACAAGCTCTTTACTCCATTTTACTTGATTTCTTAGTAATGTCATTGCAAATAATATCAAAAGAATAAGACTGCTTTCTTCATGATCTGCCACACAAAATGAGAAGCAGCCATCTATACTTAAAATTAAAGGGACCACTCAACAGGAGCATCCCAAACTAAGTCACTCATTGTATAATAGTTTAGAAATACAGGTTATATCACTAATGTGGTATTCTCTTACTTTGTTATTTTTGTCCTTCTTACATAATCTCTAGCCATTTACACAGAGCACTTTTCCACTGCAGTTCTCACAAACACGTTCCAGTATCCTAGTCCTGAAAATAAGTTATTATCTCATTGGAGGAACTGCTTCTTCAGGCTGAGCTGTGATGGGGTTACACGTAGGCAAGGGCTATCTATAGTGAAACACATTTTTCACATGAATAAAAGACCTTCTAAGAGGAACTCAACAAACAAGACCGCGATGCTGCAGTATCTGTGTGTAATATTATGCATGCGAGTCATCTAAATACCCTGAAGGAGATTCTTGCATGCATAAGTATTTGCAAAATGCAAAGTGACATATTTTTGATGCACAAGAAGGAACAGTTTTGTCTCAATCTCTTATAGTTGTTCTTTTGTTGGGTTTTTTCTTTTCATTTATATGATCTTACTCCTAGTCTTTAGTCTGATGACTTAAATCATACAATCAAGACAACGGAGCTTATTCATTGCCTCTGCTAAAACTAAAGGGGAAGGTGGGTACAGAGACAGAGAGAAAAAGAGAGAGAAATTGAGTCCATTCTGTAGATCACAAGATACATAAGGTTAAAAAAATGTGAAAGCTGCCTTTTTATGTTTGTTTACATTATTATTATTATTATTATTATTACATAAATGTAATGTGTATATGTATACATGTTCATATATATATATATGTATTTGCTGGGTATATGCTAGATTCCAAAATACTGCAGTTTTTCTCTCATGTAAAGGAGAGAATGTGACACACAAAAGGACTTATTCCCCTTATTAGCAGCATTTAAGGGATTGCTAAATTTTTATAATATGCATATGTGATTCTCCTGCTATATACTGAGAGAAGAAAGTTAAGTTTCTAATGATTTTACCTTGGAGAATAAAAATCAATTTCTTGAAAAGTTAAATTCTTATTTCAAACTTCTGAAAACACAGTGTGGTGAAAACCAACATTTTCCCCCTTAGATTGTCAGGCTTTTGTAAAGTGTTTATAAAGCTTTATGACTAAATATGAAAACAATTTTTAGAACTTGATTAAGGTCACCCAAAAAGACTTTATTTCATTAACAATTTTAGCTGTAAGTGCTGTGTTACAGATCCTAGCAACACAGAAATTATATATGAGCTGGAACAGTAATTATTAGAAATTCAGGCTTGTAAATTTTAAGACTACTTTAAAAAGAATTAAAAAAATTAATATTTTGCATTCCAAAGGAAACAACTTTCCCATTTCAGTGGGGATGTTAAAAGAACCCTGTTCAGGCTGCTTAACAAGGGTCACTCCAATACCAGCAGGTTCAGAAAAGAGTTACATGACTCACATCTCCATCCCCAGGGCAAAGGCCCCTTCAGCATCCTCCTGTATGTCAGCACCCTGCTGCTGCAGACGCTGAACCTCTTTCAGAGTTCGTTCATGCTCTGACAGCAGCCTCAGGCCCTTGCTGAGCTCCCCCTCTCCTGTTCACGTCTCTACCGCCTTGCCGCAACTCGGCTCCCAGTGAGCCCTGTTACCCAGGAGACCCAGCTGTCACACACCACGCATCCTCCTCCATCACTCGAAACAGTTCCTCTTGCACTCCCTGACTTGGTGCACCCTTGATTTCCTCTCCTTCTGTGCATAGGCACTACCAGCCCCTCTCTGTGAGCTTATTAATGACCCTCCCCAACGACCCATCCCTCAGTGGCAGTTGATGCCAGGCACTACCACCCAGCACCCCCTCCTTTGCCCCCCAACGTCTGAGCCCCCACCTCCAACCCCCACCCGAGCTCACCTTTCCCAGGTGATGTTCACAGGTGTTAGTGATGCAGCAGTTATTTCACTCCCACTACTGCAGCGTGCTGTGGGCAGCATCTGTGCCAGGAATTGCCTTCCTGGCCAAAAAGTGTCACATGACTTTTATCAATAAAACAACCCCTTCCAGCAATTTCGTTGAGTTATCAGTATGGACTCCCATTTTAAACATTTTTGGTTTTCCTCTCAGATTATGTGTCAAAATATCCCTCCTTTCCATTCCAATTTTCCAAAATGCATTTTCAAGATGGTACTGGAAATAGTCTTACAAATAATCCCCACTTTCTGCAGCTTCACTTGTCTGCTTACTCTGAAAAGAGAAGAAAAAAAAAAAACCTGAAAGTAAAGCCTCAACTCCTAGCAAGATGACCAGTCTTATTTTTTTACTATTATCTCTACAGTAATACTAACAGCAAAATAGTATGAAGCACAGATAATTGCTGTAAGAAAAAACCCAAGCATTAATGTATTCATATTGAAAATCTGGTTTGTAGAAACCCTGTGGGTTTTCATTTTTTTCAGCAGAAAGAGGGACTGCTTACCATTTCTGGAAATATGGAGAATAATGGACAAGAAATCTGTGCTAAGATTTTCAAAGTAATTTGCCAGGTTGAAAAATAAAAACAAGTAAGCTCTGCTATCTTTGACATTCCACTGAATATCATCAAATCACAGGCTTGAAAAGTACTGTATCTTTTCCATGTGGAATAGAAGATTGATTAAAGAGTCTCAACTATGTTTGTTACCTCAAAACTTCAGTAGCAAAATACTGCCAAGTTGAAAATAATGTTAAAATAAAAGATTGTATAAGAAGAGTTTATAATATACCAGAAAGTCTTGTAGAAAAACAGATAGTACCAAGGAAATCAGCATCAAATTATATAAGTTGTAAACACTGGGGTAGAATAACTCTGTTCAGTGATACAAGGATGTGTACTTATCTGCAGTCAAGCAGTGCTCATATTTCTTAAACTAAGTAAAGCTGGGCCATGTCAGTGACTGAGATAAGAGATAGGTGATACCAGATGTAGTTTTTATGCATCAGCAGCTGGCATACTTCTGCACAAGTGAGCATTATATTAAACACTCAGGCGAGCAGTCAGTTGCATTATTTTGCCAGAAATGTCTTTGTTCAGAACAAAATCCAGGTTCTAGCATTCTGCTGGCTTAAAAAACCCCAAGCATAACAATGAATTGCATGAAATTCACCATCAGTTGCATAATACTCAGGGTTTTTCCTATTTATCCAGTACTACAAGAATTATAAGCTTAAAATTTAAATTTTGGTTTCATGAGAATACATTCTTAAGTCACACAAATTTTCTCAGCACAAAGTCCATCGCAAATGGAGACATGGATTTTGCAATTGTTCACAGGATTCCTCAGCTGACAAATCAGCCCCTACTCTGATCTACTCACTGGACTCCAATAAAAAAGCAATCAATGTTTAATCAGACAAAGTAAAAGACTGGCCCCTTCCAAGGGGGGGCAACAGTCTGGAGCAGAGCCACTTTTCAGTGATGAACAATGAACTCCTGTGTGAAGGGTCTGAATTCTGTATAGTCCCATTCCCACAAGAACCTGGTGATTGGATGTAGCTGAGTAGTCAAACACAACTAAAATTGTATATGAGCAAAGTAAAAGTCTGTGATTGTCATCTGGCAATGTGATGGCCAGATGTATGAGAGCACGTGTGCACACAGAATTTTCTCTCTTTTTCCTATGCTTCTCATTTTTCAAAGAAATAGTATCAAGTTAGGAATAAATGAAGGACTACAATTTCTTCTTCTCAATTAAGATTTTGTAGAAAGGCATTAAGGTAGTTAGGAATGACAGTAAGAGAGTTTCTCTATTCCATGCATAAGGATATCATTTCAAGTAAAAGTAAGTTCATAGAGGAAAGTTTTGGTATCAGTTTTCTGTAGCTCAGAGAAAAGGGAAAGATAAGTAGCGAAGGCATTAAGCTGCACAATTTTACCAAACTCATTTTCAAATAATCATGATTTTGTTGGAGACTGACTTATGAGTGGGTAGATTTGCCCAAAATATCAAATCACAAGATTTTTAAAATAATGAAATATTTTTAAAAATACTTTGTTTTCACTAACCAGATAAATAACACAATTTTATTTTTTGTTTCTATTTTTTCATAGGCTAAGCATTCTGAAGTATTTTGGTGTACAAATAACTGTAATACAGATTCTTTCCCCCTTTAAGAACAGAAGACTCTTGTGCAAAACTCTTAAGTGATGATAATTTAAAATGTTGGGGGACCCATAAGGGTGCATGGGCCTCTGTCCGTAGATAATACAAGTCAGGCCTGAGGCAAACAGTGGAAGAAAATTCAGATATCAGTGAAACAAAAAAATGTCTTCTTGTAAAATTGAGAGATACTGATGTCAGGTCAAATGAAAAATGAAACCAAGACAGTTCCCAAAAGAGTAGCAGAAGATAATAAAAGATATTAACAGAACTAGGGCCAAAATTAGGAGAAGATGCTCTTTCTATATTTGTTTTCATGCAAGATCAGAAAGAACATGGGGAAAAGGTGGGTTTTTTTCTGATAACTCAAATTAAAATGTTTCTTGAATGAAATTCCCCTGTCATTTATTTAATCCAGCATCACTGGATGGATACAGCATGGTTACTTTTTCTGCCTTGCTCTCCTCATATAGCACTTTGCAGCACATGAGTACCTTCCGACTAAATACGCACATCAGCCTGGGAACTCTAAAGATCCTGTCAATAGAGAGCTATAGATTTATGTTTATCTAACAAACAGCTTTGACAAAGTTATAAAAAGTTGCCCATAACACTTGAGCAAATAGCTCAAGCTCAAATAATTTACAGATGCAGTTCAAAACCTCATCCAGACTGATTGCAAATACTGCTGTCATTCATTTCAAGCAGGTTAGTCATCAATAGGCTTCAGCATCCTAAACCATTCTTTGCATCTATTTTTTCAAGTGAGAAGTATTTGCACGTACAGGGAAATTCCTGTTACTTCTTCCACTCAAAAAAGTTTGAGTTATGCCCAAAAATTAAATCTTCCTCCAATTACCTTCTATTTCTTAATCTACTTGAAGCCCAACCCACATCTGATGTTGAAGTACAAACCATATTGGAAATTGCAGATTTTTTTTTCTTTATTGAAATTTCAGGATCAAACTACTACTACTATCATTGTTTTACTACTAAGAATACATAATTTCTTTATAACTTTTTAATTTTTTAAGCATTAAATTTTCTTGAAGCATTTAATTTTTTAAATATTAAGGTTTTTAAATTAAAAATTATAACTTTTTAAGCATTTTTTAACTTTCTTAAATTATTTTTAACTCTTTTTTAGCTTTCTTAGACGTTGTACTTCCAAAGCAAATATTTTTTTTCCCCAGAGATGTTTACTGTTACTGCAGTCTCAAGATGACTTTGACAACAGGATGAAATGAGAGCAGAGATGTAAACCTCATGGCAAAAGCTAAGTAACTTCTGTTATTTAGAGAAAGCAAGTTTACCTTAGGGTTGATTATTTCAATATTTATAATTTGTAAAATAAATATACTTCCAAACATTCAGAAATATCACAGGAATTGCTTTAATTTTAATGCCTAAACTAGAGTTTAGGCAGAGGTCCTGCTAAGAAGAAAGTGAATGTTCCCTGATTCAGTTTCCTGAAGATGTGAATGGAGAGGAGGAGTTAAAACGACACAGACAAGTAGAGGAGGAGGTGGCCAGGCCACCAAGGGTAACACCATTATTAGAAAAGCGAGGGCAGAAGCAGGTCAAATGTCTAGGTCAAATAAAGTTTGAATACCAAGATGAGAGCCTTGAATTTAACCACAAGGTGATGAATTTGAGGGCTGTGCAGCACTTAGCAGGGTACACCCAGCATCTTGCAGAATTGCTTTTGGAGACTGAATTTTCATCACTTGTAGGTCACTGTGCATTATTAATGACTGCAGAATGACTGCAGGTTCTAAATGTTTGGGAATGTATCTGGAAAGACAATGCAGTCTGATTGTCAGATTATTGTCATTAAATAGAAGTGAGGATGATGAAATGAATGAAATGCGGGAAAGGAAAATGTGAACTGAACAAGGTGAAAACATTTCTAATGGTGAGTTCTATTAGACTGTTTAAAAGTTTCCCAGGGGACATAGTGGACTTCCAGTTCTTTTCAAGAGAAAACATTTTAAGGAACAATCCTTCAGTGGAATAGAAAAACATTAGGTAACCTATTAAGTCTTCACCATCTTTAATTTCTCTGGAACTGAATAGAACCAGAGAAATAGAACAGTATAAAGAAACAACAAATATTATTTTAGGAAAAAACTTTTATCCATTAATGTCAGTGTGATCACCAAAAATGCAGGTAAGAAAGTCTTTTTTACCTTGAGGTGGAAGTACCAAAAATGTTAATGTTGGTACTTTTGCAAATATATGTTTGTGCAGATGTCCTAGTCCAGAAAAAACATCTGTCCTGAAAACTCATGAATTAAGAAACAGTAGGTGATAACAAGAAATCAAGATAATACTGCACACTGTGCAACCTAAGTATTAAATCAGAATATAAAGCATTTGAAAAAGTAAAAATGTCTGAGAGTAATACATTGTATTACATTTCTCTGTGCAAAATACTGTTTTACAGAAGGTAACTGTGAAGAAAAAGCCCTAATCAAACCCTACCTGTCTATTATTGAAGAAATTTTTTTGTCTTGAATACTTTGTGTAATCTTGAAAATTAGTTTCTCACAGAATATTATGAAAAATAGTTTGAAAATATTACTCTGTTAATTAAAAACAATTAAAATAATCAGTTCTGTCATACATGAAACAACGGAGAAGTCTTGGTATGAAGTCCAGTACTTGGATTAATATCATCCCTGGATCTGTAGGTTTGCAACGAGAACCCCCAAACAGAGGAGTAAAAAGTGCAAAAAAACAACACTGCTAAGCTTCATGTCATCACTGTCACTATTCTGATCTAGGAAAGGAAGGCCGCACTCTTCCTTTCATCCTCCAAAAAGAAAACCCCATGGTATTGTAGGAGGAAGAAGTGGTTTCATAGAACAGTGGTAACCCCATTCTTCAGTGTCAGGGTTTTTTTTGTAACATTCTACCTGAGAATATTGTAAGAAAGGTGAAGTAAAACTCCTTTGGCCCCATGCCTGCTCTTAAGGTGGCATGGGTGCAAGCAGGGAAGAGTTATGATCAATACTGTTACCTAAAAATCACAAACAGTGCAAGGGCCTGATTGCTGTTACCACTGGAAACCTTCACAATGGCACACTGTGGGTGCTACTTATCCTG